AAATTCTAAGAAGAAAAAAAAACAGGTTCAAGATCATTTCAAAAGGGCAACCTTACAGGCGCAACCTCCCTGTCATTTCTGCTAGCACACTGTCTCCTGGCTTGTCAAGTTGCCATGCTAATTAGTGTCAGGTTAGTGTTAGGAGTTGCCTAAATCTCAAGCTCCTCTGAGCAGAGGAAAGGTGTGGAGCTGATCAAAGTCCAACTGGAGGATGTTTTATTAACAGGTGTGCTGCATTATGGATGAGGCTGAGGGCTGGACTCCTGGATGTCACCAATGTTTTTCTAATCCCAGGCAAGCTTACTGCATAATTCATTTGCCGTGACACACCGTTCCTTCAAATAAGCTTGGAAAAACATTGGAAAAATGCAATGCGCTGCATTTCCTTTACAGAAGATACAGATAAAGGAATATTTAGTATTTGTGTAGACACAAACTGGCTAAGGGGAACTAAGAGTCTGGAAAGAAATAGTTTGTGTATCGTTACTGTCATATCAAAACTTTTTTTTTTTCTAGATGCCATTTGAAAATGCCAGCTGCCCTACACATTCTGTGAACATTTCATGATGAATGGAACAATAGAAATTGCACAAAATCTGAAGTCGTGCATCAGTGTCTTTCCATTGTAAAGAACAGATTGTCTCAATGAGTAAATGAATGCTGTTTTTTTCCAATATCCCTGCTATTGCTTCCTGTGGTAAACAATAACATTCCAAACCTGATGTGTTTTGTTTTATGTACGCTTTCCCGAATGTCACTGGATCCTCTGGATTATGTGGTTGTTTAGTTAACCCCTTAAATGGCCCAAAGTTTTGTTACAAACTTATATAACCTCTACCACTTTGCACTGAAGTGCCTGTAGTTACTGAATTGTAAGCCTTAGTCTGTTATATGCCTGTGATTTTAAGGGGTTAAACTTCAACTATTATGTTCTTGTATTTAAATTATATATTACATCAGCTTTTCGAACTGTAGTGCTGCCAAAGGAACTTAACTAGCACATGTTGACAAAGTTCTCACTGGAATTCTGTGGGGTATTTTGTTGAGGTAGCCAGTCTAATGATGTGAATTCAGTGCACAGCTGTGTTAGCTTGCATGCAGAGATATTCATATATCGGTTCTTTAATGACTTCATAATTGAGAAGATCCAGCAACATCTGGAGGAACAATGTACGTACAGCAAAATTCATTGGCTTTGGAGCACTTTGTTTACCACAGGACACAACAGCAGCGATTTTAAACAATACCGTTCCTTTCACAGAGAAAACCAGTTTAGGCCCAGAGAACCTAAATGGAGCGTGATGTCAACTACAAAATGACAACACGACTTCAGAGATCTGTTAATTGGAATATAATCTTGCTACATTAACATAGAAATGTTTTGCCTGTCTTCTAACATTAGCGATACAATGATACATGGCATCCAATGCACTCGGATCAAAAAAGTCTTCAAAGTTCAAATGCTCTGTACAGAGCATGTAAACCTATAAATTATTTAGCATTTTACAAGTTATGAGCTTGTGAAGCTAATTCCTCAGTGTTCTGCATTCTGAATGAATGCGTTTGGTGGAGTAGCCAAACTAAAAGGGAGGAGTGTCTGGGCTGAGATTCTCGCCTCACTAAGCTTTGCAGGCCTTGTGGTGTGCATACCACACTATGGTAGAATCTGTGCCATTTCAGAGACTCAAAGTGACAGACCATGAGACAATATGCTAAATGGAAATTACAGTCTGTTTAAGGACTAGTATAAAATGTTGCTAATTGAAGTAGTCACACACACAGTGCTAGCATGAACTAATGGACCTAACAGGGTGTATTACTAGTCTATAAGTAAGGCATTAAACTGTCAGTCTTTGTAGCATAGTTTCTTGTTCAGCATGTATGCATACACTTTACTGCCATAGAGATTTTCAGGTTGTTTTTCTCCATTATATATTTCTTCTTTTTATTTTTAGGTTTTTGTTTGTTTAAGTAACTAATCTGAGATTGACTGCTTTAACTTGCATACATATTTTTTCTTATTTGTTTGCTTACTTTAACTACCACCTACCCTAGAACCCAAAGCTTATCTTGTATATCTCTTTACGCTATTGTAAACATAACTCATTGCATTGGTGCATCGTTCTGTGCTGATAATTGTAGAATGTCATTCACTTGTTTCACTGACTGCGTCACACAGTGGTTGGCAAATACTTCTGTTGCACGGACCCATTAATCTCTTTAAATAATTCAACCTCATTAAAGCAAATTAAGGCAAATCTTTTCTTTCCTTTCCTATTTTTTTAGTCAGTGGTCTAACTGCTGACTGCTTTTCCAATCTCTTTCAGAGGCTGTTCAGAGGATTGTCATTCTCAGGATTCCTAAATAATAGGCTGTCATTACTTAAATGACAATCTCTGCAAAACATTAGCTGGAGGAGTGAAATGGAACAAAAATAGAGACAAAGAATTGCTTTTCCACTTCTGTGCATTTCTTTTTTTAATACTGCCTGTTGAAAGAGAGCATTTTCAAATGATCTGTGAATGGACAAAGCCCATTGAAAACCACATACATCCCTACTGTTCATCAGTACAGTGTAGATAATAATCACATGTAACTTAAATTCACAAGAACAAATTACTTCATTTTCCAGAACATCTAACAAGCAGGAGATATTCTTCCCATGAATGATGATTATAAATGAGAAATGCAACACTTCATCACTTTACTGGCAGAAAGATTGTAAGGGGCCTGAAAATGATTCTGTGGTGCCTCATATAAAGCACATATACTCTTAAAAATAAAGGTTCTAAAAGGCTTCCTTAGAGCGATGCCACAGAAGAACCGCTTTTAGTTTCCTAAAATTGAAAACTGAACCTTCCAATGGATGATTCTTTAAAGAACCAGTTTTGTAAATGACATGTGCGAGTGTAAAGAACATTTTTAAAATATGAAGAACCTCCACATAATGTAAAAGTTCTATGCCAAGAAAAGGCTTTTCCTAGAACCATACGTCCAGCCTAAGAGCCATTTAAGAACCTACATTTTTATTTTATTATATTTTTTGTTTTTTTTTATTTTTACCCAATTTTCTCCCCAACTTAGTCGTCTCCAATTCCGCCCGCTAGTTAGGACTCCCCCAATCACACGATACTATCAATGTTAGGAGGGTGAAGGCTAACACAGGCTTCCTCCGAGACCTGTGAAGCGCCACCGCATCTTTTCGAGCTGCCGCTCACGCAACGTAATTGGACAGCTGAACGCGCTCGGAGGAAAGCGCCAACCACCAGATCTGTTATGTCAGCTAACAGACACCTGCGCTGACTAGCATCGCGTTGAGTGATGGGGGGAGAAGGGGGGGCCATCCTACCCACCCAGAGAGAGCGAGGCCAATTGTGCTCTCTTGGACTCCCAGCTACGGATGGCTGTAGCATCACCAGGGATCGAACTCGCGATCTCCTGATGATAGGGCCAACGCTTAGACGGTTGTGCCACACGGGAGCCAGAACCTACATTTTTAAGATCGTAACTGCACCCATACTTCAGTTCCTCATGACCTACATATTCCTCATAACTTATGTTACTATTAGTTGCTACTATGTTACTACTAGTTACTATTTGATTGATAAATCTTTAGATTACTAACCAAATAATAAACCTGCAGTTTAAAGGGTTGATAACAGTTTATTAACACTGTCAAACCAAGCATCTCGCTGGCAATCCAGTCTAAGAATATGATAAAGGCCTCTTTGACATTAGTGAAGGCTCCTTTGCTGTAATGTTTTCTATCTGTGTATAAAAGATGTATAAGGTTGCCTTTATTGTTGGATGCATGTTTTTTTTTTTTTGGAGGGGTGAGCATGTGACATATTCCTCTTCATTTGTTGTTCAAAAAGTTGTGACACAAACAAAATAAAAGTCTGAATTTTCAGCTTTGTTTGATCACTTTCTTTACATATCAAATAAATGCAAATACTGCTGAAACATTACTGGAGATTACATAGCAGAAATAGTTATGTTTTTGCCTTCACCTTAAAGGGTTAATGAATTGGTCACCTTTCTCCTACTCTTACAGAAAGTCTTTACTTTCTTTTTTTAGTGATGTCTTAAACTCCTGTATTAGAGCTGGTTGATGCAATGCACTTAGTAGGGTGATTGATGGCTGAAAACGTCTGGAATACCACTAGAAAGCCACCTTCACCACCTGGTTTCACTTAACCTCCAACTCAAAGGTTATGGCTGGTGTCTGTAAATGCAGAACGAATTAGCTTACCATTCTTTTTTACAGTTCTGCGGACATGCACTATTATACCCACTCGATCGCACACCAACTCTATAAATTACTTTGGCCGAACTCATGTGGCCTGCTTTGACCCGGGTAATGCGCCACCGCCTTCCCGACTTGTCAGAGCCCCTAATGGTTAAATATGGGTTTGTCTTCGTTAGCTTGGTTGCCAGACGTTTTCCATCTGTGTGAGGTAAAGGGCTCCTGTGATCACTCGGCACTTAATGAAGTGAGACTCTCTTTTTTTTAGTGGAGGAACTGGCAACCTCTCAGAGTTTGGTAAACTTTGGTGTAGGAAACCAGGACATTTTTAGATGAAAACACAGTTCTACCATTAAAGAACAGTATGGATAAAAATATTGTTTTAATTATACAGTCAGATTACACTGGTATCTTACAGGTTCTTTTATGGTAACCCAATAAGCCTTGCCATTAGGTTGGATTTATCAGATCTGTCATTGGACCTGTGTATAAAAAGCTAAGCCTACTGTATATAGTGGAGACTGAAAAATGAGTTCCTCTGACAATATCATTAGTACGCTAGACTTACTGGAACTTTCAAATAAAAACACACAGAAGAATGGATTTAAAAATGAACTTAAATCATGATTCTTCCTCTTTTCAAAAAGCAAAGTGTTGTTCCTGCCAGGAACAGCTCATGCATACCACATTTGTGGTTTTACCTGTAACAATGTACAGTCATGCAAACCATTCAGCTTGTTGCCATGGTACTTACAGGGGGTCCTGGGGAGAAAAACAGAAAAAGAGAGGGAAAAAGACAGTCATAATCTGGGCAAATGTGTTTCAGATGAGAGATCAGTTACTCATTTATGAGATACTAGACACCCAGCAGCTTTCACATGATGACCCCTAATAATGTTTCAACTTCAGACAGGTCTAAAATAACCATTTCAGTGATGTAGAGTATACTCCTGGGGGGAAAAAAGACAGACAAAATATCTGCACTTCCGGCTACTCGTATTTCAATGGCACAGCTAAACCCGTGTCTCATTTCCGCACACATGCAGAATAGTGCCTTTTATTTATACTCATGGCATTTAAGGCTGGCATCTTGCAAATTCCTGGATCTCGTTTCCAAAATGTTGGCCAACAATGACAGGGTGGGCCATCGCATGCCTTTACGGAGTAATATTGCATTACACAGGAGCCGTGGGCTTGTCACTAATCCCCCTCCCCTTCTCCCTGCTAAGTTTTTGTGAGGTGGTAGCCATGCCCTTCACCCAATTACCCCATTGCTCAAGTCCATGAAGCACAACTATAGGGATTTTTATCAAAGAGCCTCACAAGTCATTTTGATTCTTTGGATCCTATTAGGAAACCACAGCTGCTAAACCAAAAGGGGAAGGCAGGGACTTTTTCTTTTTTTTTACAAGTCGCAGTTTTCTTTTCTTTTTTTCCTCAAAGCTTTCTCGTATTGAAGGTGAAGTGCAAATCACTCCTGCAGCTGCTCTGTCCAAACCTCTGCAACTGTACTTTTGGTTTGTAATGTACAGCTATTAATTTACCAACCAAATTAGATCACATGTAATTACTGTTTTATGCTTTTCATCCAAAATAGGAAGCAGACCAGACAGGAGAACTTTTTTTGCATCCCTCTTTCAGGTATATAAAAATACTGTAAGAACTCTTCAGGTTGGAGTATCAAGAAGTTGACAATTGTGCTCAATGAGGCTTCAACTAAGTCGGTTAGTCATCAGTGATGAGGATTATGGAAAAGGCCAATGTGGTATTTACTCTGTAATATTAGGCAGATTGCAGTACACTGCAGGAAGTGTAGGGGGCGATATGGCTTCTATTGCTTTGTTGCACCACAGATGACATAGATGATTGAATGATGGTGACACTATGATGAGCAAAGTGAGATAAAACAGAAGAAAGGAAAAGGACTTGAGTAGATGATTAATCGAACAATAGTCAATGAACTATAAACTATGAAGAAAATGCTGAGTGATTGTGAAGCTTTAGATATTCCCAGGTGGTTGCTAGGGTGTAGCTAGATGGTTACTAAAGTATTTAAGTGGTTGTTAAAAGTCTTGGTAGGTGGTTGCTAGGGTGTTGCAAGGCGATTGTTAGGTGGTTGCTAAGGTGTTGCTATCATATCCCAGGGGGTTGCTAGGGTGTTGCTATGGCATTCCAAGTGGTTGCTATGGTGTCGCAATGATATCCCTGTTGGTTGCTGGGTGTTGCTAAGTAGTTGCTATTGTATCTCTGGTGGTTGCTGTGGTGTTCCGAGTGGTTGCTAGGGTGGTGCAATGATATCCCAGGTGGTTGCTAGAGCATTGCTAGATGAATGCAGCAATGTGGTTGCTAGGGTTTTGCTACCCAGTTGCTATGGTATCTCTGGTGGTTGCTAGCGTGTTGCTAGGTGGTTGCTATGGTGTCTGTTGTGGTTGCTAGTTTATTCCAGGTGGTTGCTAGGATGTTGCTAGTACATTTGTATCATGGTGACATCAGAGAAGTGCACAAACTTTTGGCCCCATAGTTCCGCCATTCATTCCTATGGCAAAAAAGACTAACTAATTAATCAATTACAGAACTATACAATAGTACACAGGGGAGCCAGAATAGTCTAACCAGTTCCTCAAGCTTAATCACATAAAAACAAAAAAACTTTCTCTGCTCCTGCACTGTGGACTTTTCTAGTATTTCCCCACTTGTGACTTAATGATTGATAACTTTTGGCAAGGTACACTGTGTGATCATATGAAAGGACAAGTCATTATCACCAACAGATATGACAAGAAGTTCTGGAACAGTGACAGCTGCATAGTTCATGTTTGAGGTAATATAGCTTTTATACCTACTTTTCAGATCAGCCAACACATAGAGTGCCTAGACCCATTTAAAAATAAAAGAACCACTTTTGGTTCCATAAAGGACAATGTTGAAACAGAAATTTGTGAGAGAGGCTTAAAGAATTAGTAAGGTTCTATACCAATTCAGGAGTTCTTTGTAGAACCTAGAACTTGTGTTTGACACTAACATATCTCATTTATTCATGTGCTGTTGTGTATACAGTATTGTTTTGCAGAAAGAATAACAAAAGATAAAAGTCTGACTCAAACCTGTCAAAACAGAATATAAACAATTGTATAAATGTAATTCACTGCATAATTCACTATGTAATTAAATATATAAAAAGCATAACAAAAAACTTCTGTTACATAGTTTCTCTGTGGAATTGAGCAGCATAAGTTTGATTGGTTACTTTCACCATACAAGGCAGCTGGAGCCTCGCCTCAAAGAACTAAATGCTGCCTCACTGCACTACTGTGGTTACTTGATTTAATAGACAGAATTGTCTGAATTGCATTTTCTTTAAACATTATTCACAATGGAAGGAATGACTCCAGTACAGTGGTAGATATCCAGGTACTATGTTTACCTGGTAATCAAGGCTAGGGTTTCCCTACGCCAAGAAAATATATTTAGACAGAAAAAAGACAGAAGGAAGTTTGTTCGGCTGAGTTTGCTGGCACAGACTTACTTGTACTGATCAAGCGAATGCTCTCGTTTTCCCTGTTGAGTGTTATTGTTTTGTTAAGCAATTTAGTTAATGTGGAAAAGAAGCTACAGGGAAGAAACGTTTTTTTGATGGATGTTTTCCTGTGGTCAGTTGGCCATCAATGGGAGGCCTCTGGACTGCACAAAGGAGGTGTGTAGCAGGCCATGTGTATACGAGAGAGCGCATCCAAGCACTGACCACCCGTTATGCACGGTCACAGACAACCACTGCGGCCTCACTCAACGGCACTCAACCCCACCCAAGACTGTGCCGGCCAGTCCAACCGAACAAGCGCCCTGGCGTTCTCAAACTTGTTCATTGGGCCTAACTTCTGCTCCAATGAAGTGTCATTTTGAGCTTCAGTTCTTGGGTAAACACCTTGGTGTTTTTCCAGTTTGCTTTCCCCCTTCAATTAGCTGGTTAACTCTGGGCAAAGTGCAACCAGATGAAAGGATGTTCCATTCACCCAGACAGGGCAACCGCTCTTGCCTCAAGTTTGGTGTTTCTCACCCTGGAAACCCGCTGGCCAGGCAAACATGAATGTGGGGTCACGGAGATCCGGCCTGCATTCGTTCTTCTTTAACAGCATGCTTGAACGATCTTCTCTTGAAATAGCTTAAGATTTTCCCCCTTGCTTTTGCAACTGCTGATTGATGCAGAAATGTGACCTTCATTCGCTATACCAAGCACGAGGCAATTACCCAGTTTCTCGTGATGAATATAGGGCCTGTCAGGGAACTATTCTTAACCGGTTCCTCTTTAATCCTGTGAGGCTGACATGTAAACTTGGATATTTCTGATGTTTTACCTACTCTGTTACATTAACAACATAATTTCTGAATGATGCTGTTGCATAAATCTAACAAGGCTGAAAATTAAAGGATTTTTATTTTGTTTGTCTAAATGTTTTTTTTTTTATATATTCTTTCCAAACAAGAAAACACATGAATTGGAATATAAGTCCTGCATCAGTCACGCTTTATTACTCTGATTAACCCCTTAAATAGCCAGGGCCCATCGGCAGGCCCAAAGTTTTATTATTTTTTTAATGTGGACAGATTTAAACAAGGATCATTCTTTTTTTCTTTTATGGCCCAGTAACAGGCTCGTCAGGGTCAAGTGGGTTAGTCTGAGAACAAAACCAAGATTTTTCACAACTTAATTCTTAAAAATAAAGGTTCCGAAATGGTTCTTAACTTGGATGTACCATTGAAGGAACAGTCTTTAATTGGCATAGAACTTCGAAATTATGAGGAGGTTCTTTTTCTTCATGGTTTAGATAGTATTTGTGAAACCCAGAAGGAGTGTCCCGTTTTGTTGACATTCTGTCAGTTTAATGTGTATAAGCAGTCAATGCCGGCTGTGGCCTTCAAATTAAGATATGAAGAAAAAGTCAGTTTAATCAGAGGTGTTGATCAGTACCAAATCGATAAGTTATTTTGAGTCCAGATGCGTGCCCATGATAACATATCCAGACATCATCTATAATTACCTGGTAAATAATGCATCAGCCTACATTTTGCAGGAGCCAAAAGGATTAAAAATCATCAGAATTATATAATAATTTAGTCTATGGAAGGGTCAGAGATATTCTGTCTTTACAATCAACTACACCATCAAATGAGCTACAGAAAGTGGAAAATAGCTACAGATCAGTGTTAACTTGACGTTGGCTTAAGTCACATGAGCGCTGCTCATGTAACCTGCACATCTCTTGTACAAAAATGATTCTTTGGAAAACTATCCACTGAAAGATTCTGTAGGGAGCCAAAAGTGGTTCTTCCGTGGCATTGCTCCACAGAAACATTTTTCGAGAGTATAAGGTCCTAAGGAAATTTCACCTCTTCGAGTATAATCCATACTTTTATGAGTGAAAACACAGGTCATATACAACCAGTTTTACTTCAAATGCTCCTTTAGTGAGATGTGTAAAGGTGAGAGGAAAGGAACAGGCTCAGAAAGTCATTATTTGAGCATCAACCTACATTTGTTTTGGCTTGTATGCTGACCACATTCTAAGTGGACGAGTGCGTATGTGTGGTCGCGGAGGAGAAGTAAAGGCTGTGTATTTGGCCTGGCTGTTGGTACTGTCGGTGGTGTGGCCCAAGTGTAAAAGCTTTGGTATGTCTGACCTGGCCTGCAACATGCTGCTAGAGCAACACAAGGATAAGGCTCTTATATCAGCACAATAGAAGAGACTGTGGCCATATGTGTCTGTGTTGTTACCACAATAGGCACTGCTAATCGTTGTGCTTGCTGCTATTGGCTGATTTTCAAGTTAATTTATCCACAGGATGTTATTTCAGTTTTCACCGTTGCATGAAATGACATCGGAATAGTCCTTAAAATGGAGAAGAATACAATTATCTAATTTTTCAGCATTATGCAAAACATCAACAGAATGCGTCACTGGGAACTTTAAGCTCACCACAGCTCAAGAAGTCGCTCTGTTGGCTTTGAAGTTACAGTCCTGAAAATGCATGGTAAATGGCAGTCTGAAATCCACACCACCCTCGCTCGCATCTGCTCGGCTCTTTTGCTAACGGAAAACACTGCCTCCAGGCCATTTACAAGATTTGAAATTAATTTAGCAAAATTAAGAGCAGAGAACTTTGACTGCAAACATCAGAAGCCAACTATAAAAAGCGGCCTCCATCCTGATTGTGTTTAATTCCTGCGACTTGAAAGCCATCATCGGAATTAACAATAATGGAGTCCAATGTCCTGCGTTTTCTATTAGGGGCCTGCCTTAATTTCCTTTCCTCTGACCCAACCACCACAAGAGTCAAGCTCACCGACAAAAACAAGCTTTTATATGCACTCTTTCAAATTTATATGCACTCATTCAAATGAGCTTTTTATGGAGTGGCTACCTTTGCTCCAACAGTTTGGACAATGTTCAGCCCCTACACATATCAACACGTGTGATCATTAGCCTCCAGTATTTTTTATTTATCCTTGTGGCAATGCAAATTTGGAGTTGGGACTGATTTTTATTTTCTTTCATTTCAGTCAGATCCAGCATCCAGTTCATATGGTCTGTGAATGGGATACCACTGACACGTGTCCTCCAGCAAAAAGTCAGGCCAATTCGTGCAGGATTTGGTGGGCTGTCCAAGGTATAAACGTCTTACTGGAGGTCCAGTAAAAACGGAACTAGTGGTAATGGCCAGTGTAATCGGCCCAAACCCCTTTTGGAATGTCATTTAGCAGACACAGCATTCAATGCTTCCATGCACTTGTAGGTTGAGTCTCCATCATTTCCACTCGGAAAATGTGGGGGAAAAAGTAGCTGTCATTACCCTTCTATGAATAAGTTCCACAAATAGTTTTTTATGACTTGACACTTCTCTTAAAACTGCCCACTGAGTAAGACAAAATGGACATGATACTGAACAGTCATGTGTTCAATGAGCTTACTCACCAGGATCTCCGTTGCGCCCTCTTCTTCCTCGCTTCCCCGGTGGGCCTAGAATGCAAAGGAAGGAGGATTTTCTTAGTCCATTCAAGTTACCATAAAACACTCAGAAATGCAGAGTTTTATGTGTTGCAGACTTTGTCAAAAGTCTAAAAGTTTAAAAACCACCCAAAGAGGAGTGCTCAGACAGAGGTTTTGTCCAAATATTGCCTTTGGAAACATTATGCTTCTTTAGGCCATCCCAAGGTTCATTAAGATTTTAAAGGTCAGAAGCTGAAACGGGAAGACGGCACACTCAGCCTCGCAACAAATACGCACTTTATAGTTCCATTTATCCAATTTCTCCACTGTTATTCTTTTCAGCATGGGTGACTTTATTTCTAATTTGTTTTTACAGGACTCATTTTCAGTTTGCTCCTCGCAAGCCTTACGTAAACAAGACCTATCTGTTTATACTCAACCGGAAGAATGAAGTAATTACATGGACTGTCAAGTTTAACATGCTGAAAAAAGAACTAAAGGTCCTAGGTATTGTCCACTGGAGCCCCGCTAATTTAAGAGGCTTAGCTAAACTCAAGCACCCCAGAGGAGTAAATTAAAGACAACAGAGAAAGTATTGAGTCTGCTAAATCCATTCAGCGATTAATATTGCACTGTTAAGTTTTAGAAAAGCATGTTAAAGCCATGTATACTCAGAATATACTGTATGGCCAGTCATGTTTATGTAAATCAAAACATTCATAACAACACACTCACTTCCACTACAGGTATTGTAATTGATGCTGAATTAAGATAATGAAAATTTATCTTAACCAAAATTTTTCTTTGTTGGTATTCATTATTGTCATTTGTTTTATTAATTTACCTGATTTACTGAACAGCTGATGACATCTAATCATCATTTGGCTGCTGATTTAGAATGTATAATCAATATGTAGTGCCAGATAATACCTTCAGTATGTTGAAAGTCCACTGTTTTGGATTAGGGATGCACAATGATAATGCATTCATATCAGCATCGTGAGATAATTGCTTTAAAAACCTCTATGATAATGCTAACTTCTGCTAGCATCCCTATAAGATTCTAGTAGTTTTTTGCCATTGACTAACAGTGATTAGCATGAACATTTTTTGGCAGTTCTAGATTAAGCAGATATTTGGAGATTGTAAAAGACATTGTGTTTTGCTTGAAGTGACAGACATATTAGTATATATTTTACCTTGTAGCAGCTTCACAGCTTCAGCAAGGTGGCCTGGTATAGATAGTATTTGTGTCTCATGGCCATATTGTTGACATTCTGTCAGCATAATGTGTATGAGCAGTCAATGCCAGATATGGCTTCCAAATCAAGTTATCAAGAGAAAGTCAGTTTGATCTGAGGTGTTGATCCGTATCAAACTGATAAGTCAACGTTGAGTCCAGATGCGTTATTGCCCGTGATATCAAGAAATGTACCGTTCCATGGGATGTCGGCACTTTTCATACCCTTTCCAATGAACGAACTGTCAACGGGCATGGTTGATGTTCATCTTTAAACGAGGCTGAAGCTGGCTTAATAATCACCAGCTTCTTAATCGAATGTTCCGTTCCACCCTAAATGCTGCGGCTTGTACAGGTGTCAGAATGTAACTGCGGCACCATTTAAGGTGGAACAGAAAATTTGCAAGACAAGCTGGCGAATAGAAAGGGAGCTTCAGATCTCATATATTTAACAGAATCCCAGACAACTTTAATTCAAAGTTGTTAGTTTGCACATTTCACTCTGGACAGTTTCTCAAACCTTGGAGTAGAGGTCTGCACAAGACTGTTTTTTCAGTCCCGCTCCCGCAGGATTTCATCCCGTACTCACCCTCTCCCACACAAAATGTGTAAAACCACGTCTGGGCGTTTTTCACCCCAACCGAAGTCACATAGCTTTTACGTAGACATCAGAGAACAATTTAAAATACTGAATAAATGCTTCCTATGGCACCTTTAAAAAGTGGTGGGTCAAATGCCCGCTCACTCCTGTAGTTCCGGAGGCCCTGACATATGGCTATATTTTATTATGGGATGCTTTATTAACTAACGGTGTACAAATTATGTCTCTATGAGAACCTCTGTCATTACCACATGGACCAGTCATGTGTCAACAATATGGCAGCGACATTAAGTGTGAATAAAATACTATACAATACAATCTATTAAGCTGTCGCCACTGTTTCACTGTTTCCATTTCAACAGCCCACTGATTAGGCTGATACCCGTATTCAGTCACTGAGTATCTAGGGCTTTCAGAAGGCCTAGAGGTACATTTTTCTTTCTTACAAAATTGGTCCTGCCAATTAGAAATCAAAATGTAATTCCTCTGGCACTTCAAAATTATGTTGATAGTTAACACATTGGGCCTTCTTTTCAGCTTTTGACATCCTAACCAATAGGAGTGCTCACTATATCTACCTTTAGCTATGTATAGATACAACTATATGTACCTAGATACTTTGGAGAAAATTAATTCCTCATCAGATCATTTTCTGCTGGGCATTTCAAGAATTTAACCCTTTTGTTTCCATTCCAAACTGAACAATGAAACAAGAGTAGTACTGTAACACATACAGAGTTTAAGTACAAGCGTGATTCTATTGAATAAAAATCAACTAAAAATAACATGATGTATTTTCTTTTTAGTTTTCAGAATTCATTAGGCCTTCTCTGAAGGCCTAGAAGGTCCTTTAGATTCCCCTCTGGCTTTGCCCGATATGTCAAGCCAATATTTGATAATGTTCTTATTGTACTTCTAAGAGCAGAAAGTGATGCTGGGCTACTGTGCTAAACTTTCTGCATTTTTTCACTTCACTGCATTTGTAACCCTTCAGAAATATGTTCTATTTCACTTTAATGCTAATCCAGGGGAATTTTTAAGCCCAATTTCTATACTTTAAATATTTATGTCACAGCACTGGTAGATATGTACATGAAAAAATAATGTGATATCAGCATCAGCCCACAATTCTCACATTTGTGCATCCCTAATCCCTAATTATACAGGAAGACTACTATTCAGATTATTATGCATTATTACAAACACAAAGACAGTAACTGAATACAAAAAAACTGCAGCTGAGTAAATGTTTTGCTCAAAGAAAGCTTAATTCTAAACAATCCTACTGCTAATTTGCCAAAGTGTCATGTTCTGAATTAGTGCTTAAACGCGTCGCCTTTGGTTGTTGTTGTCTTTGGTTGTTGTTGTCTTTGTTGCTTTTCCTTTGCAGGACCAGCTGTGAAAGCTCGTAAATTGAGTGAGTCATAAATGCAATATTAAAAATATTCTGATTCAGCGTCTCTTGCTGTTCCTCTTTGTTTCTAAAGGTCATGTCTTTCTGTATTTGCCACTTAAAAGTAACATGTTGAAGTGCTACTTTGTGGCTTTTTATGAGGCTCACTGGTCATTTCTTTGGTCACTACACATTAACATGAGAAAGGATTGATTATTTCTGCCAAGCCAATTTATATAATAGAAAAATATTTCTAAACCAACAGTCAATGCCCATCAACTAAAACCCCAATTTCCAAAAACATTTCCGTTAAACTACAGGACTGGTTAACTTTGCAGCTCTATTAAAAAAGTCTCTTGAAAAATGAAAACATGACGAATTACATTATGCACTTTATTTTAAGATCTCTGTGTTGTGGGGACTTCAACACATTTCAGGGCGTAGTGTCTCATGCTGTTCTCACACAGACAGATTTCTGCAAACTTCCTTCTCTTTAAACAATTCCCACAACTGTCAAAAACATCTTTTGTTTTGAATTATTCTTTGAAGATGAACATGAAAACTAACCACTTGTTTAACATAAAGACTTTTAATTTGGATATTATGCACAAAAAATGAATTACCACTCATTTTGAACAAATGTCCTCAAAAGAAATTCCCTCTTATATGAACCCAGTTTAAAGGGAGTGTGTTATTCAATAAACAATTAACAGTATTTTGACTGTCATAATTTAATTTAGTTGGTGGTATTTTGGCATCTTCACAGGTTCCATGTATTTTTTTTTTGCTAAGGTTAAAGTATCAGAAAATAAATGAGGGAAAATATGCAGTTTTCACTATGAATACAAATCTGCTTTAGACCGCAATCTGTTACTAACATACCATTTCATGTGATTCTGCCATCTGCCTGAAAAAATTAAGATTTTGTGGGTTTGTTTAAGTTACTAACAATGAGTCAAAAGAAAAGAACTGTCATGTAAGTGTCACACAAGAACGCAAGTCTGTATCTATCCACATGTTTTTTTTCAGGGTAGTGCATACAGTACATAACTGTTGCATGAGAATTGTGTATATTCCCAGGATTATTTTTATTCTGAAGTCACATTCATTTACTGCTGCTGACCACTGCTGTTTCAGAACACCAACTGACCTTACTGTTTACAAGAGATTCACATAAATACATAATGCTGCATGGCTGTTTGTAGACAAAGCCTGCCAACACTTTTATTCTCACTGCCAAAGAGCATCATGATTTGCATGCAAAGCCTTGGCTAGACTTTGAAATTCCTTTTTAAATCCTTAGAAGAATTACTGAGAATTATGAGTTTAGTTTTGATAAACTATTTAAATCAAATGACATAATTTAATATATAATTAACGTTGTTAGTTACGTAAATAATTACATTTACATTTGATTTACTTTCTAAATCAACAGCTTTAGAAAGGTTTTTCAGTTTGTTTTGATGTCAAAACATGGCAAAACGTAAATTTTGTTTTTTCCTTCTCTAAAACAAAAACTTTTCATCAAATACAAATCATACAAAATATGTCCTCTTACACAGTACCTAACTTACACAGATAGCATATGAGTATCAATGGGTATTAATATGGGGACAATATCAGCAGAAATGCTGATTTGGATACTGGAAGGAAAAAAGTAGTTTGAGCATGATAGCTGACTTTGAGATGCTTTTCTTACATCAATTGCTTCAATTTAAAAGTCATTTTAAAATTTAGTAGCCTTTTAAACAATATTGGATCAATATTAACTGATACTCAGGGTTTCAATGTCAGTA